GTGCACCACTCACCCTGCCACCACGATCTCAAAGTCACCATCAGCATCCAGGTCGGTGACAGCCACACCATAGTTGAGCTGCGTGGGGTTGCTGTCGTAGTCAGGTGGGAGGAGGCGGTGGGTGACGGCTGTGAACATGGGCTCGCTGCGCTGGGAGCCCTCGCTGAGCCAGGCCAGGGACAGCAGACACAGTGCCAGCATCCTGGGCACCTGGGAGAGACCTGCAGCCCCTGAGCTCCAGGAGGAGACACTGCTCCACAGTGCCCAGCATCCCCACAACCCTTGCAGGGGAGATGCCCTTGCCACCCCCTGTCACCCACCCCAGCCTGTGCCACCCCCCACCAGCCCCTCCACAGCTCTGGCATCCCCATGCAGGACCCTCCCAGGAGCAGCTCACCTCGAGGCTTCCTTGGGACAAGACCATACTCCAGTAAGCTGGGGCTGAGCAGGAGTGAGACCTTGAGAGCCCATCCCAAGGGAGGGACCGGGGAGGCAGCTGGAGGGCTGCAGGGTGCTGATGAAGCTGGGCTCAGTCCCAGTTCGCCCTGCCCCAAAGGGCCATTGGCACCCAAGATCCTGGCAAGTCACAATGCCAATCCCTTGGCAGGGCCCAAGGAAGCAGAGAGTTGCCAGTCTGGGGAACTTGTCCCTGTCCATCTGGTCTTCCCGAACTGGCACACCCCTGTGTGCCTCAGCTTCCCCACCCACTGGCACTGTTCCTTCCAGGGTCTCCGCAGGGCAAGCTCCTCCCAGGCTGGCCAGGAAAGGTTTCTGCACAGGGACACGGCCGCAGGAAGGAGAGGCTCAATTAACCTGGACTGCGGAGGATGGTGACTGCCAGCACTGCTGGCAAGGCTGCGGAGATTTTGGAGCTGGCTCTGACCTGGCTGTAGCATGGGTGACAAGCAAGGTGGCACTCAGGACAGCCAGCCCTCATGCCAGGCCAGGCAGTCCCCTCCAGAGGGGAATAGCTTAGCAGCAAGCTGCATGTCCCCAGGGTGCAGGCATGGATCCGTGTGCCAGCACTCCAGCTAGGAGCAAACCCAGCCTGTGCCACTCACAGACTGGAATGATGGCTGGGGCACCCTGCCACCAAGGTGAGGAACACCACTCCATGTGACTGTGCCACCCACTGGGCAGGCTGCACCCCAAAACCAGGAACAGCCCCCCCAGCACTGGCAAGGGGGACAGGGACAAATGGCCCTGCTGCCAGCTGGTCCCCCATCAGCAAGCAAAGGAATCTGTGGCAGCTGCATGGTACCACATGCACACAGCTTGGAGAGGGGAAGATGCCAGAGGCTTAGAACCTGGCAAACCTGCTGCTGCCTCCTCTGGGGATGGGAATGGTTCCAAGGGTCTTTGCAGGGCCATAGGATTCTCCTGCCACAATCGAATAGCTTCCAGGCCCACCTGGTTGGGCAGGAAGGGGCTGTCCTCCAGCAGCAGAAGAAACCTGGAGCCCCACTGCCCAGCACACCCAGAGCTCTCCATCCCACAGCACCAGTCCTGCTCCCCTTCCCAACCCCCAGACACAGCTACAAGGGTGGATGCGTGTGTGTCCCACTCTACTCTGGGCTGCTCCCATTCCCTCCCTGGCCTGACCCACATCCTCCCACAGACCCAGGTGCAGCCAGCCTCTCTCTGGCACTGTGCTCTTCACCACCCAGCCAGACTTGGGGCACTGTGCCCATCACCCTGCCATCCTGTCGGGAGCGGGTCTCCAAGGGCAGGAGCCATGCAAGGCACATGCAATGGGGACAGGGTTTCATTGGGTTGTATAGGAAAGGGACAGTCCCTGGGTGTCACTCCACAGTGCCAAGCAGTGGAGGGGGGGGCTTAGCCACAGTCCCACACTGGGCTCACCAAAGCAAGCGTGGGCAAGAGCCCCACATGTGGGTGCAGGGCTGCCACAGGAGCCCCAGTGATACAGAGCAGTACTCCCTCACCCCTGGCCACAGCCAGGTGATGGGTGGCTGTCTCCAGGCCACTGGCAGGATTCTCTCTGCTCTGCCCTCTCCTCTAGCTCCTGCTCCCCATAGCCCATTCCTCAGTTGCCCACCCCCACACCCATCCAGCTGCAGCAGAAGTCCCTCCAGGCTGGATGGAGCCTTTCCAGGAGGAAACAATGTTCCTGATTGGAGACAAAAAGCTTTTCCCAGCAGATCCGGTGCTTGGTGCCATGGGGAAGGGATGTACGGCCCAGAGCCAGGCCATTTTGGGAAGCAGGAAGGAGGGAGGCTCAGATTCTGTGCGAAAAATGGGAAAGGCCTCATGGCTGCCAGCATGCTGCTGGTAGCACAGGCACCTTCACGAAGCTCCTCCTGAGGTTTAAGGCTATGGGGTCCTGCTTGTACGCAGGGCAGAGCTCAGCCTGTCTTGTCCCAGCAGAGCCATGTCATGGCTTGTGTTGTGGCATCTGATGGTAAGGTCACCCCAGGGTGCCTGCACAGCATGGCTAAGCCTGCTGGCACAAAGCCAGGGCGCCAGGTAGGGGTAGAGGCAGCAGGAGGATGGGAGCAAGGCAGGGGGTGCCACAGGAACCCATGCAGCCAGACAACGCAGGGACAAGGTACTGGCTCCATGGCATGGATGCAGCATGCAGCACTCAGCTGTCCCTGCGCATGGCTGCGGCTAACAACGCCCTGCGGGGAGGTTGGGATGGGACTGGGAAGGGAGCCGTGGGGTTGTGCCCAGACCCCTCACCACAGCTGGGGAGGTGCTGTCCCCAGGACTCCTCATGTACCCCCGCATGCACATCTCCAGTCCCCGGCCCACACCATGGGAGGGCAGGAGCTCGCTCTCTGTGTGGCCACCCCATCCCGTGTGCCATCGTGACATTGCCACTCACCGCACCACGCACCCCAGTGATGTCATGCTCCACCACTGCAGCAATATCCCATCCTAGGCCACAGACACCTTCAACACCACTGCGACATCGTGCAGCTGGGGCCTCATCACACCCCAAGGGCACCCCAGAGCAGTGACAACATGGTGGCATCACAGCACCCCATGACATCATGCTGCGTGTGCCCCAGTAACATCAAATTCCCATTCCTGCCATTCCCAGGCTGCCACAGCTGTACTCGCCAGGGCAGAGGACAGGAAAGAGACACCCCGCAGACCCAGCAGTCCCTCTCCTGCAGCAGTTGTGCTGCCCAGGGATGCCAGCATGTCCCCTCCACATCAACTCAGCCCCACGCTGCTCAGCCCCTGCAGTGCCTCTGCTCCAGTCAAAGCTTGTTTGCCCCAGTTCCGCTGTCCTGGCTGCTCACGGATTCTGTGGGCTCAGCACCACTCCCCCCACATCCCCGTCGCAGACCCTGGCCTGTGCATGCAACCCACCTCAGATGCACCCATCTGGCCCAAAGCCCCCAGCTGCCGGCTGTCCCATCCCTGCCCCCTCCCACACAGGACTCCTCAGCACCGGACCCAGCGCGCTGGGGCTCAGCCAGCAGCAGCTAATGCAGTGTGGAGATAAGCAGTCACCTTAGCTCTGAGCTCAGCCCAAAGGGACACCAGGTCCTTGGGGGGCTCGGCTGCA